GTCTTACTTTTGCAATGGGCGTCGTTCATACAACGTTAAATACTGAATGTGCGTTATTTAATCTATCTGGAGACCCGGCTCGGTATGCTCTTATGACGTGTGCTGTTACGGCCGGGTGGGTACTCAAGTCCCTGGACCACGGTGACCTCGTTCATATCCTCGTCATTATTCTGGCTTTGGGGAAGTTTTGGGGTTGCCTAAGATGTCCTGGGGAGACTCAAACCTTGGGTTACGATAGTCATTTCATATACTGAAATGAAAAGCTACTGTGCGAATGTTCAAAGGTGCGGCACATAGTAAGTATATCAATGGTTGGAGGTATATTCTGAGGGTATCATGGGTCGACAACAGGAGGAAAGCGTGCGGCGGCCAGGCGATTCAACAAAGTGTTAAAATTGCAACAACGCGACGCGAGGACGGCGTTGGGTAGGGTTCGATAGTAATGTTACAGGGGTAAAATTTGTGGTAAGACAAGAAAGGTGCACCGTAGGAGACCGAGAATATGAAGATAATAAGTAATGGAAAGAGGAAAGGGGAAGCGTGCAAGAGGCCAAGAGCATGTATAAGGGTCAAGGAAACTAAATGTGCTCAGCGGGGTGGGACCTAGGGTTTTAGCGATTTGGGACCTAGGGTTTTGGCGGAATAGCTAAATGTGCCGTCAGCGAGGAGGTCATTTTGGGGAGACGCTGAGGAAGAATGTCGGAGGTTGGGCGGCTAATGGAACATATTATGGGGGACAGGCGGGGAGTCGCTAGAGGAGTCATGACGTGAAAGCGTGGAATGGGAGCTCAGTTATCCTGCCGACTGAATTCGGCCTGTGTTAGGTCGAGGACAAAGGTGGCTTTGAAATTCTCTGGTGGTTGAATGAGCTTTATGGGTTTTGATGACGATTTGGACGTTGGGGAATTTGGGGATGATGATTTCGCCTGGAAGACATGGGAAATGGTGGGGAATGGACGTAATGCCCGCGAAGAGGGGAAAGACGTGTTTCGCTTTGGCACAAGGCGCGTCGTCTGTGGAATGTTGGACTGAGACGCGTTCGCGAGGGGTGACGAGACAGCGGGACGGGCAAAGGTCATGGTGGCTAAACGAAAGTTTGGTAAGTGTGAATGGTAAAGGAACGACAGTAAAGACATACCCATTGTGAAGGAGAGGGAGGCGAGTTTTGAAAGAACTGAATCGCTGACCGGGTATTTATACAGTTCCTCTAAAACATTTGGATTGGGGAACGGTTGGAAACTCTGTTTGCTTTGGGGATCCGTTCGGCAAAAAGCGCCGACATCCCCATCTGGTTCCCCTTAATTTTGATTTCAACCAAAGGTGACGCATTTCTTCCTCTGCCGCTAAGTACGTACTTTACTCGGGCACGTCGTGAGTTTCCCCAACCAACTGATAGACATTCATCGTTATCGATTACCATATGCATGTCTGGTTTTCAATGCATTCTCTGTCTCATACCAACCCGCCGTCAGAAACCGTGGCGGTTTCCGTTTCCGCCCCTACCCGTGTGCTCTCAACCCTTTGTTCATCCACGCACGTCTGGCCTTGAAATATTCCTTTCTCAACTCCACGTTGTTATTCGCGTTTTTCGCGCAGATGAAAGCGTTCAGACTTTTTGGCCTGCTCGTCCCCATGTGCTTACTGAGACGATTGCCTTCCTTCCTGCTGCCAATCTCTGCTTGTCTCAGGCTTCCAGATGCTAGCCACCTGCCTGTGACTGCTTGCTCGCATACCCCGAGAATCTGGATGAGCCGATGGACGTCAACTTTTGCAAACAAGGTTGTGAATGTTTCTAATCTTCCATGGGTGTTCGGAGAGCCTAACGCCGCTCCCACGATTCTAAGCAGGCCGTAATTACGCTCCTGCCAATCCTGTTCAGCAACGACTGGTTATTTCCATTCGCGCCTTTGTGGCATCGTATGCTCGGGATACACCCTCGATCTCCTTCCGACTGACTAACGGGCTTCTCATCCACCTCTGCTGGGAATATCCATATTCATGGAATTCTCAGAAGTTATGCATGTACAGTGTCAGTTTCTTATGATCATTGGCTCAGATTTTTGTGAATTTAACTTCGTTTTATTCGACGCGCAGAATCCAGATGAATCAGTCCATCTTATTCTCATTGTCAATCCTTTCAGGTAATCGTCAACGCGACGCATGCGTCCGGGTTGCGATGTATATCTGATGTCAGGTACGAGAGACTACAATACTCATTGCAGCTACATAAGTTGGCATGACACATTATCGTTCAAGCCCTCAGCGCTCAGAAAGCTTACCGTCATCCTCGGATGGCCTGGTATAGGTACTTACTATGTACTAGGCATTCATGCATATATACACATCGTGAACTCATGCTTCAGTTCCGCGAACCTCGGTTTATGTGCTTCTACAGTGACATTTACAAACTTGTACATGTACTTGTGCCCATCCTGGGAATGTGTAGTGCACGTCTGCTGAACCTTCCTTATATATGGTACTGTGTGCGGCGTATAGGGGGCCATAAGTACTACCAAGATAGGCCAAAACATTAGGAAAATGGGATAAATCCTCGTTTCGACGCGCACCCTTCGGAGACAAGATCCGTTACGTTACAGATTTGAGATCACAATAACTTCAATTTGTAGTGTTCTAAAACAACGTACAGGGATAATAAAGGTAGCAAGGTCGATGTTGGAGAAGGGGGAGACGAACGACACAGCAAATCATACGAGCTGCGCGAAAGTGATTAGAAAGAGGAGAGATGTGTATGTATGAGAAATTCAAATAGACATCAGGAATACGATAAGAGAAGATATTGTTCCCTGAATCGATGAAATCTATATGCTGCTTGAACAAGGGGCGCCGATGGGAAAGATGTGATACAAATATAAGGGTTGGCCGGAGGTCAAGGGAAGGAAGGGGGATGAATAAGACACGTCCTTTGTCACTGCCGCCGCAGACAACGAATATAGATTAGCCAGCCTCTTGGCCCGCGAGTTTGTTGAACTGGGAATATCAGCGAAGACACTAGAATTGGGGGAACTGGCCGTCGAAAGGAGGTAAGAATTGAATGTGGTGTCCTCAGGCGGCGGTGGGTCCGGTTGTCACGTTGACATATCCGCGCTCCTTGTTCGTCGGTTCCTTGGACAATAATAAAAAAAGACCGCCCACTGCCTCTCTCCCTCCTCGCCCTTTTCTGTTTCCTATTGGTACAATTTCGATTTCGATTGCGATTGAGAAAAGTCCGAGAAAAGACGATAAATCCTAAAGACCATTAAGACGGCGGCCTGCCGGGTGCATGTGCAAGTGAGATGAGCTGGGCTCTCGAGGGAGAGGCTGCAAGGTATACGAATGCCGACTGAGCCGATGGATGGTGGTGGTACATGCGTGTGTGCTATGCCGGTAAGGTCAATCCGTAAGGGTTGGGCACAGGGCACGACGCCTATTGCACGTCCACCAGTAGGTTCCGCTCCAGAATATATTTGCCTTCCTTGTATTTCTGCGATGGCTCATACGCCTTGTCCTGTCGTAAGTGGAGGGGATTGTTAGGATCTCAAATTACTAGACGAGAGGAAGGGGAGCAATCAGGGGGGTATTTACGTATTTCCAACCGAGGGTGGTGCCGCACTTGCAGCAGTAGATGTCGCGAACGGTGTGGTTGCCAGTTGTCATTGGGCGGTCATCAGGTTCGCCTTCGATGACATTGACACTACAAGAAATGATTGAGCAATGGAACACGGTGGAGCTGAGAGATGAAGGGAGACTTGCACGCCATCGAAGAGGTACGCTCGACCATGCTGGCCATTGAATGCCTGTTGCAAGGATGGTCAGCCACGATGGAGCATGAATGAGTGATTAATTACCCTAGACATCATGGTGTGGATGGTGGCGAGGTGGGTCTTGCACTTGGAGCACCCGTAGATGCGCTCACCAGAAAGATAACGACGATAGCTCATACCCATTGTGTCTGAGGATGAAGGTTAGAGGGTGCGGCGGTCGTGTGAGAGCGAACAAAGGGGAAGGACTCAAGGGTAGTTAGGAGGAGGGCTGCTACTTATATGCATCCGATAAATTGCCATAAATAAGCTTGTTCCGCACCGTCGTCATCTTTACCACCGTTTTCATCCACTTTTCGTCCAGTGCCCATGCCTTATCACTCCATCTAGTCCCTGATCCATGTCCTCATGTCCAGTTGCTTACGCCTCACCCACGGACGTGCCTCTTCTGCGTGGTGCCCCAGGCCCATGGGGCTCCTTTTGTTGTAATTTTCGGCCCCAGCTTCGGACCTTCCTTCCAACGGCGTGTTTTTCTTGACACTTCTCTTGGGAAATGGCGTGAAATTGTGATCATAGCTGTGGAACTTGAATGAATTTATGTTTTCTGCACTTCTTCACTCAGGGTCACTGTGTCAGCATTGCGCTCTAACGCCGTTACACCCTCTAACACCTCAAACGGATTCTGGATTCACATCCTTGGGGAATAGCTTACTCTGGCTATCTCGACCAAGGCCTATGGGCAAATTTGGTTCACAGTCATTCTTGCGCAAGATGACACCGAGATGATTGGGACTCCCTCACGATCAATATATTTCCTACTCGTTCCATGTATTGCTTAACACGAGGAATACAACCAGCGTGTCCGGGGTTGTCATGATCACTGTCGTTGTTTAGCTGATGACTTGTCCCGGTGCCGGAGATTCCTCAGAGGTCTATCCATGGGTACATATATTACAGAATCACCCCTCCAGGACGGGTGGTAATCTGAAGCACAATTGAATCCATTATGCACTTACATAAATAAACAGTTCCGTTCTGTCATCGGCTTCAAATTTGAGTCTCGCAGTTATAGAACCTACTTCGCATCGAGTTTGTGACCACTTTCCATTCAAATATTCCTTACTTCACAGTAGTTACGTACGTACGTTGCATGTGGACTCAGAATAAGTATCATAACGAATCAGATGTAATTTGATTCGTAACCAGACTTGAGAGCAAAAATATTGGCTGTGGCAAAATAAATGCTCCCTATGAGGTTCGAACTCATGACCTCAGGATTACGTAACTTGTCGTTACTCATATAGACTATGAGACCTGCGCTCTAACCAACTGAGCCAAGGAAGCTTATATTAGGTCTTGCAATGATTCCAGGACATGGGGGTCGGTCAGGTGGCCAAAACGAGCGTGACCGTTCGTGGATATTTTCGTGACAATTGAGTCACAGCCACGAACCACGACCACGAACGACTTTATCTGGCGGGCCGTCGACTCCCTCAAGGCCATCGCCCATAGTACAACACCCTGAGCGACAGGCCAATCGAAATTATCCGGTGTCATTCCAGCACGCGTTACGGCTGTCCAAACGAACGCTTCAGGGACTAGCTTTCCTCACATGAATTCACGAAAACGCCAGGCACCAGAACCTCTACTTCCTCTACGTTTTCCGAAGCAACCACGTTTGGCCCTCGTTGGATACAACGGTGGAGCACCTAGTCCATCTGAGAAAGAAGGAATTCTCTCTCGCTGGCTCAAGGTTGGTAACGAGGTCGCAAAGTTGACCTACGACACGGTTATGATCCTTCTACCTTGTGAGTTTTTCCAAAGCACTCATTTATCTTTTTCATCGCTCACCTCCTCTCTAGCAATGTCGATCTCCGAACCGAGCGAATAGTCTTCACCAGATGAAGCAACATCCTCTTCATCGCTGTCCACATCACCCTCAATAGAAACCCCAAAGCAAAGTCCTTCACCTCGGCTAATCTCAAATGCGATTCAACAAGACGATGAAATGCCGACGCCTACCCAAACCCTGCCACGTTTCACCCTTGAACCCTCTTCGAAACCCCATTTGCATGATACTTCCAATACCCCGCTTCTTTTCACCGACCTGTCACGAAGTTCTGCAAAACCTCCTACACGAAGTTTACATTCATCCATGTTCGTGTTCCAGCCCTCGAACCAGCCCACCATTATCCCCGAAAGCCCGATGGGCAGTATTCATATTCCAAGAGAACACGCGACGTCGACTCCGAGGACAGGGGCAGTTGACCCACCACCCGACGCCACACCTATGGATTCTTTTCAATGGAAGACGCCTAGCCATTCTCACCCATCCACGCCCGATCGCTCACTGCAAACCGACATTGTACCTGCCATGGGGGACCTCCAACTAAAGAATTCTTGGGATTCTTCAATGTGGTCATCGCAAACATCAGATTCTTCCAACCTGCTTTCTGATTCCCAAACCAGTCTTGGTGATTCACGGTCGTCTCGTAGATCATCCGAGGCAACGATGAAAAGGGATCCTCTGCGACGGAATTACCGAAACAGGGAGCACATATACGATAAAGTGGTAAGCCAATTTTTGCTTTGTAGGCTTTGAACATCCCCTTACCTCTCAACAGCACAAGTCCAGCGTTAAGCGCAATCAGAAGGAGCTTCGTGAGGAGATGACCCGAGAACTCTACCGGATAAAACGGAAATCAGGTATGTAGTTTTCTTTTCCTTTACTTTCCATGGCTTAATTCAGTATCAGGGTTCACATCCGGGTTCACTGACTTCAAAGGTGAATTTTCTCCTTCTTCCTCGTCTCCTGGTTATTGACGTGTGGGATCCAGGACTGTTGGACTATCAAAGACAACTGCAAAATATCAATCTGGAACGTGCCCCCGTACCCTCCCGTTCGTATCTCTATTGGCAGCGTTGTTTATTTACTAACACCCTCTTAGGCTCAGTCCCTTCTCTTGACTATAAAACACCACCGCGCACGCGCAGACCCAAGGAGAGTTCCGTAAGCCCGTCGTTACCCTTTTGCCCACCGCGGATTTCTGACGATATCTTCGAATAGGATGACGCCACCGTATTCTTAAAGCGAGCACTTGACAGTGCCAAAGCGACCCTGAACAGGTAGCCCACATCGACTTCGTCTCAAAAATGCAAAGCTAACACCTATCCAGCCCCAGACCCCCCAAACCCTTCTCCCCAACTCTCGAACAACTCCGAATTTCTCACCGCGCAAAGGACGATGATATCGAACGACGCATCCGGCCTCCTCTTCCGCCGTTGCCCTCCAAGCTCCCACCGGCAGACGAGGCGAAGGTATCCGAGCTCCTCCGCAAACGTGGAGTCATTTCCAAATTCGCGCGAGAGCAAGTGTCCGATCAGGATATTTCTCGGCTGCACCCCGGGCAATGGCTAAACGATGAGATTGTTAATTTTTACGGTGCAATGATCTTGGGACGCTCGGAAGCCAGCAAGGAAAACCCGGCACCGCAGGCCAATGGAAAAAAATTGACGAAAACGAAGGCGCTGCTGAATATCCATTACTTCAGTTCCTTCTTCTGGGCCAAGCTGGTGACTGAGGGGTATGATAAGGGGCGGCTTGCGAAGTGGACGAAAAGGGTGAGCCTCTCATCGGCTGCATGCTGCGCCCAAGCATTTTTCTCACGAATTTATGCAGATTGATCTCTTTTCGAAAGATGTAGTATTAATTCCAATTAATCATGGCAATGCCCATTGGACTGCTGCAGCTATCAACTTCCGGAATAAGAGGTTTGAGTCGTATGATAGCATGGATATGGCCAAGGAGAAAGTCTTCAGGGTAAGATTGTTTGAGCCTTCATTCAGGATTTACGTTAACTTCACATGATAGACACTGCGAGAGTATATTAATGAAGAGCATAAAAATAAGAAAAAGAAGGATTTCGACTTTACGGGCTGGGAAAATTGGGCTCCGGAGGTGAATATTTTTCCTCCTCCCTTCAAGCTCTTAAGCACCTCTCTGATCTTCTGCTTCTTAGCATACACCGCAGCAAGAAAACGGTTTCGACTGCGGAGTGTTTACCTGCCAGTTCATGGAAACCCTTTCACGTGGGGAGGAATACTTCAACTTCACGCAGAAGGACATGCCTTATCTCCGACGGCGGATGATATGGGAGATTGGGAACGCGAAGCTCAGGGACGAACATTGATCTCCTGGGCTTCCGTTCCGTTGACTTTATTTTGTATTTTGCTGTATTCCCTAATAATCTTCGTTCTGCTGCGGATTTAATTTTCTCTTCACGCATGAGAAACGTTTTGCTGAGATTCGAAGAAATGCGTGGTATTGAAAAAGGATAAAAACATAATAAAAACAAGATGTAACCAAGACGAAGAAAGGGGGTGAGTTGTCATCTTCGAAACCACCAGGTGACCATGAAAAACCAGAACACAATGGTGAGGAAGACAATGTACCACAGCCAGCGGCAGCCTTGTCGAGCGGCCATGTTGTTCATACGTCGGAATGTCCCCGAGAGAATGCCGCCAGTTTCTGCGAATGCATCGTTCTAAGCGAATAAGTAGATGAAATAGTAAGCTTTCATGGCTTGAATTCATCAAATGACATGGTGCGCACCATCTGGGTCAACTGAATCGTCGACTCCCGGACCTCGTTCCCAATGCCAATGGTAAGCTAGAAAAGCAAAAACATTCACCAAGAGCTCAAGGATGAACGGCAGCGACCGGGCAAACTCACTCACTTCCTTCAGCATTTTTACTTTGTTACTTAGACCATCAAGGGCCTCGTCATTTTGCCCCTCGAGATCATCGGCGTAACGGTGTCCGTTCGTTAGGTTGTGTCCTGAAGGATTATATATGCTGCCACCGAAGGGTGAGGACCTCCCAGAGGCTGGTGGGGTCGCGCCCAGCAGCGCGGAACGGTCACGGAGTGAGGGCGCGGTTCGGTTTCTGCAAAATTCGTGATCAGGGTACACCGTAAGTATGAATGATTTACACCTACCGTTGGGACATTAGAAGGGAAAAGAACGGAAACGGGGAAACGGTTCTCTAAATTTGCATGTCCACTTTGGTGGTGGTGACACGTCGAGCCATACTGTGTCTGCTAACTGCCTGATCAGGCTAACCTGCCATATGCAGATATCGTTTATGAAACTTGGGTCTTTGCAAAAATCGCCAGTTATGAACAAGGAAGAACTATCAATACAATCTATATCCCGACGGGCTGAAAAGTGCACCTTCCCGTAAGTTAAAAAGAATGTAAAAAGGTACAGCTGGATCTACAGAGTACCAGGGAAAAATGAAAGGCACTTTTAGAATAAAATAATGACGGATAAGATACTGCGAAAATTGATGCGAGATGACGACAAGGTTTGTGGTTGCGTATGATTGAAGGAAGAGTGCGTGCGTGCAGGGAGGAAGATGGTATGAACAGTCCATTCTTCGCCATCGTAAAGTATCGAAGGACTAGCTATCAGTACAAGGGGATGTGGAGTCCATGAAGGGTCGTGGAACAGTATTCAATTAATGCTCATGCGATTGAGGTTTGTGCTTGCAGCACGACGGTGGGGTGGCACGCCAAAGCCTTGATTCGCCTTTCGCGTTACTAAGGGGGAAAAGGTTATATCGTGCATAAGCTTGTTGAAAGAAAAGGAACACATACATGCGTCCTTTAAACCTCGCCCAAAGTTTCTCAGGACAATGATGGAGTACGCAAATGTGGCTATAAGTAGGGCTATGGCAATGACGGCTGAAAATGGATTTCTTAGAGAACGCCAAAATCTGTAGAGGCAAGGACTCACAGAAAACGGTCAACGACTTCCACACCAGTTTGTACTGTTCTGTGCCATTGTAAAGCAACACCTTGATGAGCTGATCGAACTCCTTTAGGGCCGAATTTTAGAACGTCAAATTGAAGGGCTAACCTTGTAAATGAAGTACACCATCGCCCCCACACAACCAAACATGAATGTCGCCATCATCCACTTATTTTCGTGGCGGGCAGCCAGATGGCCCTCGACGAGAAGTACAATGGATAGAGGAAGGGCAGCGCATGTGACGTAGTATTCCCAATCTGTGTCGTGCAGCACAAGCCAAATGAACTGTACGGAGAACCCGACCCACACGAAGACATCGAATTTGACCAGGCACTCGTAGATTTGATAGTCCGCATACATCTTCTTAATCCTGCGGTCAGCCCCAAGGAATTTGTAGACTTTCCACCCAAATTCATGGTAAATTTTCCAACCAAGGCAGATGTAAGCGATTTCCGCTATTGAAATGACGATTGGAATGATGGTGGTCAACACATCGACAGGGATGTTTGAGACACCTCCAACCGATGTATCAGC